CAGGCTGGTCTCGAACTCTCAATGGTCCTCCTGCCTCAGCCTCCTGAGTGCTGGGATTACAGGCCTGCGCCACCACGCCTGGCTTAAATTTTTACTATTGAAACTCAGGCTGTAGACCAGAAGAGAATCATCCAGCTAGTTATCATTTACTGGACATGTTTAATTTATCTCATGTTGTGCTAAATGCTGCTATGGGTGAAAATAAAAATAAACAAATCCCATCATAACCAATAAGCACTAATTTTTGAAAAGATATTTTAAAGAATGAAAGGAAATGCAAGATGATAGTTCTGTCTTAGGTCAGGACATATTTCAGGAAGAAAGCAATATTTACACATATGAAAAGATAATCCAACATAGGAGCATTAAACGAGGTATATTTGTTAGGGTAAACCGAGGACAATTGAGACCACTGAGGCCGAGTTTAAGCAATGTGTGAGGACTTTATTGCAGATCAGGTGCAGCCAGGCCAAGGGCAAAAAGACCATTGGCCTGGAGCAAGGGGTGAGAGCGTGTTTTATAGGGAAGTTTAGGAAGGAGACGGGGGTTGCAAAACTTTGTGTCTCTGAGTAGGGGGTCTGAGACTAGCTGACAGACAGGGTGGTATTGGGTACAGGTGGGTGCTGGCAGGGTGCAGCAGGCACACCCTGTCTCTTGTGGTATTTTTGGACAATCAGCTCTCTGCAGGTCAGAAGTTACCTTGCAGCTCTCTGCAGCTCTCTGCAGGTCAGAAGTTACCTTGCCTAGAATCACAGCTGCATGGGGCAGGTGCTGGCTTCCTGTTAACGCTGTGCACATGCAAGTGTAATTAACAGATCTGCTTGGGGAATTTTTCTCTCCTGGCTGGGCAGGGGTCTAGTCCAGAGACTTGAAAATATCACTGGAGGATTTCAGAAGATAATCTTCTAATTTCCACTAAAGCACTTACTCTATAAGCTTGAGTAAGTCTTTAATATCGTCACTCACATATTGACTAGGGTTTGAAATACTACCCACCAACACCAAACATACATATTCTACTGTGTTGCTATTCAACAGATTCCATTACACAGGGATGAGAAGGGGAAACCATATTTGCCTACACATTCATCTCACTGAACAAGTGAGTATTGTTCTGTATCCCATGGAAGGATTAGAAATCCTGCCAGAGAACAAGTACACAAAGTTGTTATGGAAACCAGATTACTTCAGCTCAGAGTTATTTACAGAGAACTTTCAGGCTTAACTCATTCAATATAATCAACTCTGTTTTGCTTTACCTTACGCCGGTGTACACAAGCAAAGATCTATTTTTAAGGGTTCTCCAACCAGCTGTACTGGAATACGTATAAATTCAAGAGTAAGGGGACGGTGATCACATCACCAAAGCGTAATTTATGTGTAGCATTTTTTATCACATGTTGGAAGCTTGTTCACACTTGCCCCGACCATTTTCAAGTATGCCTGTTTCCGTAATACAAATACAGCAAGGCTGTTGACTACTGCCTTCAGCAAAGAAACATTTCCTCCAACTCAGCTGCTGTCTGTGCTGCCCAGTACTATGGCGGTGTGGAATCGGGTCTTCACATTCCCTCAATTCACCTTTGAAGTTAGACAATGACAGTAGCCTCTGGCAATCAATTTTGTCCTTAATTGTGCATGGGAACTTTTCCCAGCTACCTAGCAGGATCTTTAAAAAAAAGAAATTTTTTTCTATTTTCTTTTTTCTTGGTTCTGTTTTGTTTTTGAGGAGGTAATTACATAATGAGAATTTTCATAGCTTTTGAAGGATCATTTGAACCATTTGATGTTTCAGCTGATGAAACTGTGGAAGCTGTCAAGCTGATGATAAAGGTATGTACTTTGTTCTTGCACTACTAAAATGTACATTAACTTTCATTATTCATTGTAGTTTAAAATGCACATAGGATAAAGATACTATTGGGTATACTTTCAGACATAGGGAATAAAAACTATTTGGTTTTTTTCCAGTACCGGTAATCAAATTCACTACTTTGCGCTTGCCAGAAACTATTTGAAAAATATTGCTATTTGTTTACACAATAGATTGGTAAGAATAAAGTTAGATGTGTTAGACAAGAAACCCAACTAAACCAGTGAAGTCTAAGGGGAGAAACCATTTTGTTTCTCTTTAAGAATTTGTGGGATGCATCCAGGCACGGTGGGGCACACTTGTAATCCCAGCACTTGGGAGGCTGAAGCAGGAGGATCATTGCGAGTTCGAGGTCAGCCTGGGCTACAAAGTGAGCTTAAGGCCAGCCTGTACGGCATAATGAGACCCTGCCTCAAAAAGACAAAAAAAAAAAAAAAAAGAATTTGTGGGATGTGCATGGGCCATATAATATTACTACAATTCTTCATAAAAGGACAAAAGCATGACTCTAATTTTAGGCCATGCAAGTGGAGTGTGCCTATTGTCCAGTAGATGAGATGCCTTATTCGATAAGCAAACAAATATAAAGAACCAAAGGATTCTGGATGCAGAGAGCATTTTAACAAACTTATGGGCTATGACTTTTTGCATTCAGAGAAAGCTGAAACTCAGAGAAGTAACCTTGCCAAGAATCACAGCGTCAGAATATGAAACAATCTGGGTGCAATATCACCCTTATCAATTTCTGAAAATCATTCAATGTAAAATAAAAAATTAAGCACAATATTTACTTCCTGACTACCAATTATTTAACTTGGAGCTGGTCATTCTCATTTACTAAGTAGCATGCATTGAGCCATAGTTACATGAAATTTGGTAGATTACTACAATCTTGATCTAACACAGGGAATCTTTTATGTGTCATGTATCCTTTTGGAAGTCTAGAAAAGCCTATGAACTACTTCTCTGAATGTCTTTAAATGCATAAAGTAAAACATATATGATAAAAAGATAGCAGTTATATTCAATTATAATTTTCAATATTAAAAATAAAATTTATTATATACATAGTAGCATGTGTCATAGGGTGTTTTATTAACACATTAACAAATTTTAGCAGTATACTTAGTAACTGTTCTACTGTCAAAGTAATGGTCAATAGAAATAATATTCTGAAGTATCTGCAATAACAGTTATGTGACATAAAAATATCTGTGATTCTTATTGGTGACAAAGGTACAGCTGACTACTGTGATGTCAGTTTGTTGCTTACAAGGAAAATCTTAATTTCATTTAGAGTTAATGAAAATGAATATATAGTTTTTCGATCTAGATAAACTCTGTCCATTAAACTTTGGGAAGTCTATAGATTCCAAGTTACAACACTAATTCTTCTTCCTTCCCCTTTATTCCAAAATTATTATAATAATCGGAGGAAAAAGAGGGGAGATTAATTTATTTCTGATCTAGTAAGGTGGAGATGTACTGTTTTCATAATGTCCCATTCACCTTTAAGGATTATTTCCACATTCCTCTCTCTGAAGACAACCAAGGCAGGCGCTATCTGGAGTTAGTGTATGCTGGAGCTGCTCTAAGGAATACTTGGAGTCTTGCTGATGTTGGAATATCTTTTTGTTCAACTCTCAAATGCTTTGTTAAGGTATGATGATCAGAATAATATTTGTCCAAAATGTCTATCTCACTTTGAATTAAGTTGTGGATAACCCAACTGAAGTCATTTCATAACTTAGTGTTTAACTTTCTTGCCTTCCCTTTTCCTTTGAAAAATTACTCTTATGCATGCTTGTGCTATAGAGGGAAGTAAGACATGTAGACTGGACATGATTTCTCCTTAGCATTCCTTCTGTCCTCTCGCTTCTCTCTTCCCTATGCTGCCTGGCCCATGCTGTAATCACAGAGTCTACCACAAACCAGTATTAGAACAAGCCCAAGGGCAGATCTGAAAGTTTTAAATGGGAAGAAGAGGACTAGGTCACTTCTATGGGCCCAAAATGACTGGTGGCAGTAGTATGAGAAAGGAGAAGAAATTCTTAGTAACAATAAGAATGAGGGAAATACAGGTGTGGTGGCACATGCTTGTAATCCCAGCACTCTGGAAGCTGAGGCAGAAGGACTGTTGTGAATTCAAGGGCTACAAAGAGAGCTCAAGCCCAGCCTGAAGTGCATAGCGAGACCCTATCTCAAAAAGACAAAAAGACAAGAATGATGGGGAACTTTCTGTACCCCGAATCAAGCCAAAGTAGCTATCTAAATTAGGTAAACATACAACAGAGATAGCTTTTCCATTTATAGAGTGTCCTTAATCAATGGTGTATAACTTGAAATCCATGGATGGGCTTTAAGAACTTTGCAAAAGAACTCCCAAACTGTAAAAGATATAAAATTATGTGCTTACCTATTTTCTGGGGCCATTACCTTTAATTTGCAACTATTCTTTCTAATTTTTCTTTGATATGTTATGCTTTCATTGTTATTTGATTCTAGAAACTTTGTTCTTACTTCTCTGATTTCTTCTGTGACTGTTATTCAATAATGTATTATTTAAATTTCATGCTTTTATGTCATTTCTGTGGCTTCTTTTGCTGTTGATTTCTAGTTTCATTCCCACTATGATCTGATAGTATGCAGTGGAATATTTCACTTCCTTTGTATTTATTTAAACATACTTAATGCCCTAAGATATGGTCTATTTTGGAAAAAGTTCCATGTCTTTTTGAGAAAAATTAGCATTCTGTTGTTGGATGAAACACTCTGTAAATATCTAATTTTTTTTTGTTTACTTGTTTGGTTTTTTTGTTTTTCTTCTGGTACCAGGAATCAAACTCACGACCTCGCACTTGCCAGGCAGGCACTGTGCCGCTGAGCTAAATCCCCAGGCCCCTCTGTAGATATCTATTAAGTTCATTTGTTCAATGATGCAGTTGAACCCTGATGTTGGTTGATTTTTTTTCTGATTGACCTCTCCAATTGCAAGAGTGGAGCACTGAAGTCCCCCACTGTGATTGTATTGGTGTCTATTTGTCTTATGAAGTCCAGTAGTGTTTGTTTTATGAAACTGGGTGCACTAACATTTGGCGCATAGATATTTACAATTGTTATCTCTTCCTCTCTTTGCTAAATTGCTGTTTTCTAGGCATCTCAATTCCAGATTTCTGAGAGGCTGTATTTTGCTGTTGTTCTTTACTCCACCATTTTTAATTTCCTCTACGTGAAACATTCTCTTACTTCTTGCAACTATTTTTTTCAAGTGATGCAAAGAGATTAAGAGCTGCTGCATTATTCCATACTGTTTCTTTACCTCATTTGTGCACATGAGCTGCAAAGAACTTAGTAAGGCATACATTTTCTATTAAGTGAGGAAATTATTTTCCCATTTTAGCATTAAAAATATTTGTAATAGTCAAAATCAACTCTTTTAATATGGTTTATTGATTCCTAAATGAATATTTGGAAGAAATATTCTCCAATACTAAGTAGCAAAGACAAGTCATAAAAGTCACTGCATTAGCCTATTTATACAAGCAAAACATATTTATATATTTTAATATTTACAGGTATTCTTTTGTGTACTGTTTTGTATCCTTGAAGAATGTTTATCCAAATATGAAATTTAAAGAACTGATTTTTTCTCATTTTCTACCTAAGCTACTCAGAAAATGACCAAATTCTATGTTACTTCTTAAATGTTTTATCTTTATGTTAATATATTTACATACTACGTATTTGATATTGTACAGGATAAACCTTCTTTTTTTTGGTACTGGGAATTGAACTCAGGACCTTGTGCTTGCCAGGCAGGTGCTTGTGCCACTGAGCTATATCCCCAGTCCTGAACCTTCTAAAATTTTCTAATGTCAATAATAAAGTTTAGGGGCTGGGGATTTAGCTCAGCGGCACAGCGCCTGCCTGGCAAGTGTGAGGTCATGAGTTCGATTCCCGGTACCAGAAAAAAACAAACAAAAAAAGAAAATTTAATGATAAAGTTTAAGTATTTTATTGTTTCCTTGCTTAGAGATAGAGGTATAAATTTGGTACTAACATTTGAACTGGTTGGAATGTTCATGGGTGGTTCATTAAGTGCACTAGGCGTGTGGATAGGGTGCTTTCATTTAACTAAGGAATATTTTATTATTTAAGGTAAATTTTTATTTTAAAAATAAAATAAATAAAATAATTTTTTTAAAAAAATAAAATGTTATTTGTGTTTGATTAGGTGCTACATTTTCATGTTCTCATTTCAAAAGGTAAAATGTGAAATTTCTCCCACCTCTGGTCTCTAGTTTCCTTTGCCAGGAGCAACATGTTCATAGTTTTGGTAATATAGCATACATTTTTCTACGAAGGCAGTATCCACCACAGTGATACAAGCTTCGAACTGAAAATGCTGGTGACATAAACAGAATGAAAGGTAAAAGAATTTATTCAGAAGAACTAAGGCAGAATATGATCATGAGTCTTAGGGTTGGCAAACATACAGGGTTTAATCAAAAACTCAAGTTCCATGGAAATCTTATTGACGTCTATTTTGCTTTGTCCAGTAGAATCATATTTAGAGAATTGCTACCACTAATTCTAAGAAGAAAAGTAATACATACTTTAATCTGAAGGAAGAGATTGTTGGTTTCCATTAAACGTAGTTCCTGTTTAGGTTAGATAATAAAGCAGACGTCCATACTATTAACCTTATGTACTATATATTCCATAATAGTTAAAAAATGCTCTTACAGTGACAAAAAGACTTCATAAAAATATTCCAGAAATATTTAATTGCCTTAGAGAATGGAATCATACTACCTCTACACTGCTTGATCTACATCAGGTTACCAAGGACCGCTTTCCAATGATGTTATTGCTTTATTGCATAATTTAATGTGTACACATTTAAATAGCACTTTTCCTCTTTATGTTCAACTATGGTATTTTGTGCAAGTTAGCTCTATCTTCTGAGAATCTAGGAAGATTAAAGTCTTTTATTTATCTTGTTATAACTTAGAAATATTATGATGTGAGCCAAACATTTTTGCAAAGTTCAAAAACTCACAAGTAAGTTTTCTTTTTGAAAAAGGTCCAAAAAATATTATGTCCCATGGAATAAATCCAAGATATTTGGTTTCTTTGTTGTGCTTATAGCTGTGTGGATTACAAAGTCTTATTTGTATGAAAATAGGAAGGGACATTACATAAATCTAGTCATGAGGTAAATTAGGCAATCCACTACCTCTAAATACACTTAACAGTCATTGTTTTCCAGTTCCTATGCACTATATGCTTCTTTTTTTTAATGGTAATGTAGACACATTTGCAAAAGTAAATGGGGTTGACATAAGAAGAGTTGGGAAAGAACTTATATTAATTTTTTTCTTCTTTGAAAAAGAACTTCTATAGAAGCCATAAGAAATATTTTCTTTGATGTGTAGATCCAAGTTCTGTGAACCCAAGAGTCAGTCCCGACCTTTCATCACTAACGCTGCTGCGGATGACTGTCTTCCTACATAAACCACAGCATTAGGCATTACAAAAGCCTGGGGTTTTGCCCAGCATGCAGAGGTGTTATTGCATCTGCCTGCTTCATATTAACTTGTGTTATCGTGGAAATTATTGCTTGAGTTTTGTTTGCTTTCATCACCCAGTGCCTAGAATAGCACCTGGCACTACAGAAATAAGTGTTGAGTTAATGAGTTGATTAGGCAATGTACAAAAATCAACACGATGGTATATGATTGCTTCTTGAGACTTCATAGCAGATTATTGAGATGCTTTCTAAGGACTGGATTCTCCATCTTTCTGTAGCTTCCCACTTCTCCTTACCCTCAAGGCAAGGTGCTCCTCAATGTTCTTGCCCTTTTTCCGTCTCCATCAAGGTTCTTAGCTGCAAACAGATAAATAAATATATTGATAATTTAAGCAGAAAATAAACATATTGAAAACTACTGGATAGTTTACAATTTTGCCAGAACCCGCTACTGGTGATTTGAGTTTTTGAAATGGGCCATAGATCAAAGCATGGCACTTAATTTTTTACGGTACAAAGGCAGGGCATGGTGGCACACGCCTGTAATCCCAGCACTCGGGAGGCTGAGGCAGGAGGATCGTTGCGAGTTTGAGACCAGCCTGTGCTACAAAGTGAGCTCAAGGCCAGCCTGAACTGCATAGCATGACCATGTCTCAAAGAGACCAAAAAAAAAAAAAAATTCTACAGTACAGTAAACACCATTCCTTTTAAAGTCTTTTTCATAGAGATCTGCATATTTATTATAAGGTAGCAGGGTATTGTTAAGGAAGAGAGGAATGAATTTGTTGTATGATAAGCTCATAGCCGGAAGACACGCCTGGAGGAAGGAGAGAATTTTGATGGGAGAAAGAAGGGGAGGGAACAAAGCAGGCACAAGAGGCCAGTGACCAGCTGGAGTGCCCATGAAGACCTAGACACCAGGTGCCAGCTTCTGAGGGAGGCCTGCACACCTGAGGCATTCTGTGGTATCACCACGGACTTATATTTGGCAAGCTAAAACAGGCTAAAGAGGAAGTAAAATCATTTTCACCTTTTTGTTAGAAAAATAGAAGCATGATACTGTTGGAGACCACTACAAAGTGGCTCTGAGCAGGATTTAATATTAACCAGTTGGCTTTGCATGTTCACTTGTGAATCTGTCCAAGGCCTAGGCTCCTTACCTGGAGATGGCGGACTCACAGTATGTGAACCTCTGTGAGTCACTAGTCCCTGCTAGAACTTGCAGTGGTGGATGAAGCCAGAAAGCCTCAAACGACAAGACAAGCTCACAGCCGAGGACACCTGGGTCAGATCTCAGCTAGATGAAGACTACAGCCTCAGGGTTCTCATTCTTGAGTGGAGTGACTTCATACCTTCCTTAGAGAAGTCCTTGAGTGGTTCTGCCCTTCTTGAGTACTCCCCTCCCTTCTGATAACCAAATAAATATGGGTGACTGAGAGAAGGTCATGGTCTTAGCCCAGAGAGAATCCTGAATTATGTGAGAGGGCTTTGATCCTCCTGGAGCCCTGAAATGATTCCATTTGCCTCTTTTTATTTAGCCTTTGATGCACACTCATTCAGGAGATTGTGGACCTGATCAGCCCGCAATAACTAAGGGATATTATTAATCCAATATGATACACTTCTCTTCCCATCCCTTCCCCACCCCTGTACTTGCCACTCAGAGCACCCTCAGAAATATTTGTTCCTGGTCCCGATGCACAGACAACAAGTGCCATCCCTTCCTTCCCTCGTAGGAAGAAGACAAGCCTACGCTCTACGTGTTCAACGCTGTGACGCAAGAGATGATGCCAATAATGGAGAACATTTCCCTTCTTGGTAAAAAGGTGTCTGACCTGAGAACACTGGTTACTCTGAGATGTGGCTTCCCCGTGAGCATCTACTGTCTGCGGACTCCAAAGGGACAGGAGATGTATGACTGCAACCCGCTCAGGGACTACCACACCGACATGGGTACTGTCTGCGGCCCTGGGCACCGGCTGCTATTCAGCACCAGGGGTCTTTGATACTAGGTTTTGCAGTCTATCATGAGAAAACAGAAATCTACATTTTGATGCAATTGGTTAACTTTATTCGCTTATTTATTTTAAAATATTTAATACATTTACATGGTTTAAAATATCAGAAGTAGGAAAGTAGTGATAGGTCACGGTCTTCCACCCTCCCAGCACTCACTTCCCTCTCTGAAGCCAACGTTCCTTGGTAGGAAGGGTTAGGAGCAAAAACATTTCCAAATGAAGACACAGCGGAGGAGTTGTTCTAATTGAAACTGCTGTGAGGACGGCATGGATGTAAATTTTCAACACTGCTCTTGTGTCTGGTTCTGCAGACTAAGATACAAAAAAGGTCTCATAACCTGACCAAGACTTGTTCTCAGAGCAGGACTTGTTAATACCCTCAGGACAGAAGAGCAAAAGTCAGACTACTTTATCTTTTGCTCTTTCAAATTATATTTCAATAATATATAGAAGTAAATTTAAGTACATACTCTTTTCCCCCTTTTAATGCAAGTGGTAGTATATAATATACGTTATGAATTTAGCACAATCTCATTTTTAAATGTTGCCGGTTAAAATAAAACAATTTCATCTGTGGTATCGGAGATTGAGCTCTGGGCCTTCCCAGTGAGCTACATTCCCAGCAATTTTTAAAATTTTGAGATAGTTTCTCCAAATCACAAAGTTCCTCAGGCTGGGCTTGAACTTGTGATTTTCCTGCCTCAGCCTCCCAGAGTGCTGGGATTACATGTGTATGCCATTGTGGCTGGCTAAACAATTGTGGTAATGGTGTGACACCAGTCATGTGCAGGATAAAATTCGCTTTAGTAGACAGGCACGTACTCCAATGGTCAGATTAGAGCAGCAGCGCAGCAGGAAGCAGAGCTGAAGGCAGAATGAGGAGAGGACACAGTGCAGGCTCGTGTGCCCTAAAACAGGAGCGTTTTAAGACAGAGTGAATCTGGCAGTGAGTGGTATGAGAGATAGGAATGAGGAGAGAATAGAGCAGGCGAAGATGTTCACCAGAACTTAAATAATTTCAGCATTAACTAATTCCACTAAAAACAGAAGAGATGAATAGGAGAAATCCAGGAAAAACAAGAAGAAAGTCATGCTGGATCACACAGGGCTAAAGAAACTGGGAAAAGGGAATGTGCTTTGGATCCCAAAACTCAAATGTGTGGAAATTCAGGGAGTACTGTATGAAGTTCCTCAACTAGTCCGTGGCAGTTCAGGCCTTGAAATCGGGGCGGGTTCCAGGGTGCTTCTACCAGGCCCCCGGAGACCTCCTGTGCCTTTTAATTCCCTTTATTGGTAAGAAAACTGAGGCTCGGAGAAGTTCAGCAACCGATCAGATCATGCTGCCAATAAACAGCAGTCACACCCACAATCGGGTTCTTCCAGGCAAGTTACGTCGCCATAGTAGTGTGCCTTTACTGGTTCCCTTTAGTTCTGAGCAATGTATTATTTTGTTTCCCCTGACTGGGAAAGTTCAAACCAAAGAAACTGGCTTCCAGATTTAGGAATAGAAGTCCTAAATCAAAAGAGGAAAAAAAGAGAAAAGAAAAAGCCTAAATCAGATAGGTAGGTACTGAACCCCAGGAGTATGGATGAGGAACTCAGAAAGTTGGGAAACAGGGAACACACAGGGAAGCGGGGGACAGCTGCCTAGGACAAGCACTTTTGCTCCCATCCGTTTTCTGGGGTAGCCTGGTGTGGTGGATGGGTTTGGAGAGAGTGGGAAAGTGCAAATTCAGGAAGCTCATACAATTTTGTCATCCCTGTTTTTAAAAGTTAAAAATAAAGAATAGAGAATTTTAAGATTCAGGACCCCTAAAATTTAAGTCTCATTTCTTTTACTCTTTTTCAGTGATAAGGTTAGGTTATATTTTCTGGGGCAAGAGAGCATTTTCCAGGTAAATTTCCATTTTGCAACAGAATTCCTAAGCTTCTGACAGAACTGAGCATGTGATGAATAGTCAGTGTGGCGGTGCATGCCTGTAATTCCAGCGCCTGGAAGGCTGTATCTGGCGAGTTCAAAGCCAGCCTGCGCTACATAGCGAGTTCAAGGGCAGCCTGAACTGCATACTGAGACCTTGTCTCAAGAAAAAAAAATGCAACAAATAAGGTATTACAAACCAATAAGGATGAAAGATTAGCCAATAAATGATACTTGCACTAATTTAAAAGTTATCTAAATATTCAAAAAGTGGGCCTTACAAGAAAGCCATTGATTATTATCTTTCTTCTTTGAAAAATTAGGGTTAATGAGAAAAAAAGAAAAATTAGGGTTGCTTTATTACAAGAAACTGAATTAACAGTTATAACACCTACAGTTACTAAAAGACAGATAATTAAAGTAGAATAAAATACAGGGCTGGAGGGAGCACCCCCAACTGGGACCCTGTAGCTGGGGAAGGACAGACGGGCCAGGAAAAGCTCACTTATGGACATTTAGCAGAGGGAAGGTAGCCTTGAACTCGTCTTGTTGGTGGGGGTCCCAGAGTAGACCAGTGAGTCTGCAACTGACAGCTGGTAAAGCCAAGTCAGTAAGGACAGAAAAGGGCTCACAGGTTCATAACGAAGGGTTGGCTCACAGCAAACCAGGCTCGCATGAATGCCAAGGTTATGACAGAACTGAAGCCATGGGAAAGCAGGGTCCGGAGGACAGTGGAGAGCGGAGGTCGTACTAAGAGACACAGGGAGTGAGGCCCTGGACCCACGTGAGACAAGGGCACTGGCTCGTCTTGAGAAAAGCCCTCGTTCCTGTTATGGTTTATTTCTAGGTGTGCCCCAAACCCTCGTGGGATCATAGGTGACTGGATCAGGGAGCTCAGGGCTGACTTGCTGTAAGGATGTGCAGCCTGCTTGAAAGAGGCAGGTCACTATGGCTGGACCCTGAAGGTTGTATCTACTGTCCTGGCTTCTCCTTTGACATTCTACGCACCCTGTCTACCACGCTGTGAGCAGCTCACCTTTGCTATGCCCCTCCACCATGCCAACCTGCCTTGGAGCCAGGTGACTTGGACTGGAACCTCTACAAACTGCGAGCCAAAATAAACCTCTCCTCCTTTATTTGTGGGCATTGGATATTGCATCTCAGTGATAGGAAGTAATTATAATAGTTCTTTATACAGACCAGATCTAATCATTGTCTTTCTGTATAGTAAATTTCATTCTCCTGAGGGACCTTTTATAACCCAAGAGCATAACTAAAATAGAGCCCACAACACTGCATGCGACCTGATGCATGGATTCAAAGAGTACTTTGTTAGTATTTGCAAACTGGCGATTCTAGAGCAAAAATGTACGTTCCACGACAAAGAGTTCCAAAGCATGTGTAGAAGCTAGAGGGAAAGCACCTTAACTTACTTGGAGAGGAAAGGGGTGGTTATAGCCAAGGAAAACTTTCTGGAGGAAGAAAGTTAAAAGGAAACTTTCTGGGTTGCATCATAAGCTGTTAGTGGGAAAGGGGGCCAAATAATTCAGAACTGGCACCAAGAGAAAAGCTGCTAAGATCAGAAACAGGCTGTGTATGCAGAAGTGCAGGTCTGCCTGCTGGGCTGGAAGGGCAGCGCAGAACCATAGGAAAGTGGGGCTGGGGCAGAACTTCATTCAGTCATACCACATTTGCTGAGTTCCACCATGAGTCAGGCACCACTAGAGAAAGCAAGCAGAGTGGCAATGTCCCTATTCTCTTGAAACTTGCACTCCATGAGGAAGCCAAGCACCTTGTAGAAAACAGAAAAACATCTAATTTTAAACAGAGATAAGAACTATGGAGAAGGGGCTGGGAATATAGCTCACTGGCACGGCATCTGCCTGACAAGCACAAGGTCCTGAGTTCAATTCCCAGTACCAAAAAAAGAAAAAAAAAAATACGGAGTAAGAAAATCTGAACAATACAAATTAATACAGTAAAGTAGGAGGAAGATACCTTAGATAGTTCATCAGAAATGGGGATGACATTTAAACAGAGACCTGCAAAAAAGAGAGAGAGAGAATACTGAGAGGTTTTCAAAGTACATTTAGGTGAGAGATCATCTACGTCTAAAATAGGGTGGGCCGGGCATGATGGTGCACACCTGTAATCCCAGCACTCAGGAGGCTGAGGCAGGAGGATCGTTGTGAGTTCAAGACCAGCCTGGGCTACAAAGTGAGCTCAAGGCCAACTTGAACTGCATAGGAAGACCCTGTCTCAAAAAGACAAATAAATAAATAAAGTAAAATAAAATAGAGTGGGGATAGTGAAGCAGGCAAGCAAGCAAAGTTCTCCAATATTTATGAGACAAACTTGTCAGACATAAGCAGTTTTTTAGATGTAGGGCAGGAAAAAACAGGAAGGATGAAAAGCATCTCCAAGGTGTAGGGTATAAAAAATACAAAAAGGATCAAAAATTCTGGGAGTTTCTCACTTAGGTTGTAAGGAAAACAGAAGGTTGGTTGGAGTGAAAGGTGACAGAAGCTGTCACTTGGGATGGTGAACTGCATTGCGGCCCTCAGTGGTAACAGCCCCTGCAGGGAGAGTCTGGAGCTGGCATGGGGCCCTGCGCTGGAGACTGGACTTGGAAGTGCGCAGCGCATGGATGGTCGGTGGGGCCCTTCGCGTCACTGAGATTGCCAGTGAATCGGCCTCAAAGTATTTAGTGGGCCTGCTCAAGGCCCAGGCTGTGAAGCAAGTCCTGAAGGAACTCTCTTCTTCTTGATGCATGCATGAAAGAGAGCTCCAAACCAGTCAGATGATCTCAAGTACTGATGCTAGGGACAATGAAGAAGTTAAAAAAAGAGTAAGGAAGGGGAGGAGGCCGTGGTGGCAGATCGTTCCAGCAACGGTAGCCAAGTGAGATCCTCCATGAGGAACGATGTTTGGGTTGAAAACTGAGTAGGAAGAACTAAGCCTTGGGAAAACTTGGACAAAGGGCTTTTCAAGTGAAAGAAATCATAAAGTGTTAGGTCCTAAGACAGGAGTGGACTTGGTATGTTGGGAGGACAGGTGAAAGGTCCAGGTGGCCGGAATGTCGCGCGTGAGGCAGAGTGGAGGGGATGAAAGACTTGGGGATGGCAAGATAAGGAGGCGTCTGGGTTTCCTCAGCAAGGGAAGATGCCGATCAGAAAGTGAGACGGTCAGAAGGCCGGGGAAGAGATTTCTGGAAAACGCCAGCCTAACGGACAAAGGGAGTGGCATTGCAGAAACCACGCAAGGGTAGACTTTTGAGAGGCTGGTGATAAATTCTCCAACAGCAGTGCATTACTTTTGTGGTTATCAAACAGAGCAGGCCCTCTTCCACAAAGGATCGAGTCAGCAGATTAGCTGGTAAGCATCACTCAGACCCATCACAGTTCACCCGAAGCTAGCGACCCAGGACCATTTGCCCGCCAGTTTGCTTAGTTGCGTCTTCCAATACAATGACTTTAGTTTACATGAAAACATATATATCGGCGTTGAATCAAGGTCTGCAGGACTGCTTCAAAACAGCTGAAAAATACATTTCAGCACTGTATTCACTCATTGAAGAGAGGAGAAAACAGAAGTCACAGAAGGCGGGTGGCTTTTCTAAACCAATAAGCCCCTACTAAACAGACCAGCCCTCTACCCTTTTCACTGAGCATCTAGCTTAGGCTTCAGTTAGAAAAACTACCATGAGAAGTTTTTTGGGCTACCGAACCACAGTGACCGGACTAGAACCCTAAACTACCTCTTTTGACCCACAGGTACAACACTTCGTTTGGACGTCTGGGATGGATGGAAGGAATTTCTGATGGGCTGTCTCCTTGGGCAAAAACTTAACGTCCAACGATATCTATCAAAAGAAGGACCAGTACTCAAGTACGGGAGATAAAGCAAACATTGCATTAATTTAAGTAACCTCTTACTAAACTTCTATCAGACCTCAAGACTTCCATTTGCTCTAGAGCTGGCCTCTGCTCCATGCCAGGTCCACTTTGCAGGAACAAACAGACATTCCTGAGATATTTGCTGGAGCAGGACACCAAGGATGCCATCAGGGCCAACAGCGCTTTGCTGATGGGTTATAATTCAGGTACATTTCCCTCTGGAAATAACAACTGAAGCGGTGACTTCAGTTGGTTTGGGATATCAGACTGTCAAAAACACCTCTGAGCCTGTCAGAATAGGTATCTTGCCGCTCCACTCAGATGCTCTCAAAAAGCACTTGCCAATTATTACCTGAGAACATCGGCCACCTCTTCCTAAGTTCACAAGTAGTTTCTTAAAACTGTACTTCATATATGCTTCACATTTGTGTCCTGCATGAAGTGTACCAGGTGTGGGAGTGGAGGGAGGTAGCTCAGAGAGGCAGGTGAGCATTTGAGTGTACTATTTCAGCCAGCAGCTTCCCAAACGCCTATGTTGACCTCTGGGTTTTTACTCTATGGTATTTTGGAACAGTGCCCCCTTGTGGGTAATTTAATCAAATTTTACAAAAGCCCAGACACCACCAGGAGCTCGGACTCCAAGAAGGACTGCTATCAGGTGGGTGGCAGGAAGAAGAAAAAAAAATAATGCTCCAAAAAGGTGTCTATAAAGGCCCAGAGTTAAGAGAAAGTAGCTTCAAGGACTGAAAGACATTCCATCGGGACTGTAGAATGAGAGGGAGTTGTGGTCAGAGCTGGAAAAACAACTGTGGAGAGCAGCTCATGCAGGCCGGCAGAGGAATATATAAGGATCTGACCTCTGTCTTTCAAGTGTTGAGGAGACACTGGGATCTGCATTACGAATGCACTTCTGACTTCAGCATGAGGAAGGGAAGCAGACAGAGAGACAGGCAAGAGATCGTCGCAACCTGAACTAGGTCCATGGCAGAGGTGGGGCTAAGAGGACAGACTAAAACGATGTATTTGGGAGACAGAGTCAACCAGCGTGGGTAACAGATTAGATAAGGATGAGAGAGAGGGAGAGCGAGAGAGAGCCAGAGAGAGAGAGAGAGAGACAGAGAGAGAGAGAGAGGAGATAAAGGAGTGAAGGGAAGATCTACCTGACCAGGAGAAGTCCAGAAAAGCATAGTTTGGGGAAGAAGATGAACTCAGTTCAAACTGTCCATGTTTGAAGGAATGATGCGGCCCAAGAACTCAGTATCACTAGGAGAAAGGTAATTACCCGGCTGCCCAGAAGCCTCGGGAGAGGACTCTTGATCCCTGATAGGTCAAAGGCAGCAATGCTGATCTTCACTAATGAATTTCAAAAGAAACTGATGTGCGAACTAAAAGCTAGTTTAGTGATTTGTGATTCAAATTAATTATAATGTGCGATGTGGCTCCAGAGACCTACATGCTCTAGGAAGAGCATCTCCTGCAAACAGGGAGCCACACGGGAGGCCACACTGCTGTAACGGCAGGTGTGGGTTGGTGCCGCCCTCGCTTCCTCCGTCCGCACTGGACGCAGGGGCGGGCCCTCCGGGAGTTGCCTCCCCACGCTCATTTTTTCACCAGCCTTCACCAATCACCAGCTTACGCACCACAGGATGTTGGAAGGAAGGAGGGCTCTCACTGTGACAACAGGACAATGAAAGGCGAGAGAAGTAGGTTGGAAGGGAGCAGGAGCCAGATGATGAGGTTCTTCAGAGGCCAAGCTAAGGACTGTGGCTTTTTCTTTTTTTTTTTTTTTCTTTTTTCTTTTTTGAGACAGGGTCTTTCTATGTAGTTCAGGCTGCCCTGGACTCATTGTGTAGCCCAGGCTGGCCTCAAACTTGCACAGATCCTCCTGCTTCACTCGCCTGAGTGCTGGGATTACAGGTGTGCGCCACTACGCTCAGCGGGAGTGTGAATTTAATTATAGTGGGAAGCTATTGGAGGGTTTGAAACAGAGGATAAGCACCCTCCGATTCCTGGAAATAGCAGGAGATGGGGACCAGTCAAGATACTATCGCCCTAGTAGGTGTCAAGTAGGAGGGAGTGGTTTAGATCAGAACCAGAGTCAAGATACTGAGAAGCCAGAGAATAAGGACTGTCAGACAAAACAAATATCTATCAAACTCTCATGTTTCTAAAATGTGTGGAATTGTTTCCAATAATTTCCTGTATAATAGAAAGCTTGGTATTTTCCCTAAGCATTTGATTCTTACAAGAATGACAGCCTCTCCAAGGAAACCAGTTAGAATTATTTACACGTGCACTGTAGAATAAAGTGCATAAGTAGGACGTGTGCAGTGTAACCTGTATGTGGATATAAGCCTCTTCAAACATTGTAGAGGTAAAAGTTAGGAAGAAACATTTTATTTTTAAAAATTTTTTTTTTTGTCTTTTTGAGACAGGGTCTCGCTGTGCAGTTCAGGCTGGCCTTGAGCTCACTTTGTAGCCCACGCTGGTCTTGAACTCACAACGATCCTCCTGCCTCAGCCTCCCGAGTGCTGGGATTACAGGCATGTGGCACCACACCCAGCAGTTAGGAAGAAATAAACAATTCAACTATTATGTTTCGTGAGAATCTAGTGTAACTCCTTTTGTCTGTTTGATGACTTACTAACCCTGCCCCCACACCCCCTTTCCATTCACTCAGGTATCAGAAAAGGGTAGCCCTGTACATCGCTGCCTTTTACGGCTACGTTGACCTCACTGAGTGGGCCCTGAAGCAGGGCGTGCAGCCACATGAGGCGGTTGGTGTTCACCCCTATCGAGCATGGTGCCATGAAGCCCTGCATGCAGATGTCTCTAAATGTCCCATTCATGCGGCCGCAGAAGCAGGCCAGCTGTTGATTCTGAAGACCTTTGTCAACTGCAGCGTTCTGTGCCTGGAGTGTAGAAACGCAGCGGGACAAACTCCTCTGACCATCGCCTCCAAACACAAGCACAGAGACTGTGTATTATATTTGTTGAGTAAAATGTGGTCCACGGTGTCTTTTCTGAAAATCTCAGTCCCAATGAGGATTTATATTAAACTAAAACAGTGGCTCCTCAGAGCTCAGAGTCACAGCCTTCAGAAAGGCCAGCTTTGCAAATCAAGGGCCTTTGGGGCAAAAGTTGGAGATACTGTGATGGTGGATGGTTTCACCACACCACGAATGACCTCCAAAAGCTGGCATAAGACTGGGAACCAGGACTCACAAAGCATCTTGAGCAAGCTACCACCGCTCAAGGCACAGGCTGCAAGCAAGAAACCTCTGGATTCTTTGCCAGTTTCACAGAGGGACGCTAGGGAACAGGTCCTCACATTTCCTCCACTAGCAGAGGCAAGTAAGCTCTCTGACTTACAAAGACACGAACAACCATCTAAAAAAGAAATTATTGCCACAGCTAGAAGAAAAGAAAGGCTTGTGAGGAATAAGTATCTCCCCCAAGTCCCCCTCCCTCCAGTTTCAAGAGTGGGATATTCACACCCATCACTTCACTGTGCAGCACCCGGTGCTGACTTCTTACTAAGGTCCTCCTTGGACTCTTTCTCAAAGCACAGTGGGAAGACTCCAAGGGAGAATGCAATCTACTGCTTAGCCGTGGCAAGGTAGTGTTCTTTCTTTCTCTTTTTCTCTCCCTCTCTCTGATTGTTATTATTATGACTGTTTTGGTTTTTGAAACAAGATCTCACTGTGGATCATAGTTGGTATTGAACTCACTATGTTCCCTAGGCTGGCCTCAAACTTGCAATGATCCTCCTGCCTCAGCCTCTTGAATGCTGGGATTACAGGCATGCACCACCATACCCAGCCAATGTTTTCTCTTTAAACACACATTGACAAACCTCTAATAAGACAGGTCTAGGGCAGAGATGATTTCTGAAGCCCTACAGCGCCAACCTTGAAACTTGAAACACGGGGAGGAGACACTGAAAGTGTGACGGGAGACTAGAGGACACGAAATGGTGGATGATGAGGGTGGAAGAAGAGGAACAGTTTAACAATGAAGTGACCGTGCAGACCTGCTTTGACTTACTAAGCAAGCTGCCTGGGTGGGGAGGAGGTTTGCATCGGATAAGGTGCTAGAGCCGACATTCCGAGATGAGTGGGAGCCCACGGTCATATTTAAAGGTTAAACAAGTGGGCTTTTCAGGCGCATTCGTTTCCAACAGATAAATTTTGGTCATTAGATTTCACCGCAAACAGAAAACTCAGATTAGATCTTAGGTCCTACCCATTACTTAAGAAGTATTATTAGCTTAGAGAAGTATAGATTGAGGAGTAGCTTTTCCTCCTACTCCATATAATGAGAAAGAAAGAAAAACTAAGGTTCAATTGTTTTATTTGCCTTTTAGTCTTTTAGTTCAGCTCCTCTATTTCCTTTCGGTTGTCGCCACCTAGCGGTGAAAGGAACTTGGGCTGTAAAATGCAAAATTTAACATCCAGCGCAATGAGGTTGACAGGAAGTGAAGACACCGCTTAGCAGCATTAACGTCTTTGTAGTTCGGAGACAACTGAGACTGAAATTAATTTAAAAATCTAAACTTCTAGAAAACTACTATGAAAATGATTAACCAAAATTGTAAGCCAGTTGTGGTGGTTACATCTATAATCCTAGCTAGCACCTGGACGGCTGAGGCAGGAAGATCTAAAATTGGAGCCTGGTACTTGTAGCAAGTTCACAGCCAGCCTGGAATACACAGTGAAACCTTGTCTCAAAAAATTATATAGTTCGTTTTAAAGTCAAGTTATAAACACTAGGGAGGAAATCTGATGTGTGACAGCAGACACGTTTAAAATCAGTTTATTTTGCCAACATACAGTAAGTGCTTAGATGGCCTAGTACAGTGATAGACAGATGGAAACATGGAAAAGTACATTTTTGTTTGTTTTTGAGGTGGTGGGGCTCAAATCCAGAGTCTTAGGCTCTGCCGCTGAGCTATATCCTCAGCCCCAAAGTGTTTTTAAAGTGGGCGTATGTATAGTTTCAGATGAGAGGGGTCTTCAATGTCTATTGTGCAGAGTGCTTCTTGGAAGAGTTGTAAAATGTACAGCAAAATGCATAGGACATGCTGATAGCAGGTGTACAGCTTACTGAGTTTTCACATTTGCATATACAGTATCCAGGTAACCACTACCGGGTCAGGTATGAACTACTTCTAGCACTCACCCCAAAATTTCCCTCATGACCCCTGCCCATCTCTCCAACGCATCTCTGCCTATTGTTAAAGTGTGGCTGGAAACTAGCCTTCCTCACTGCTTAGCATCCGATCCCAGGGAGCACTATGCGACCTAGAGGTCCAGTTTAGTGAAGTTTCAAATGTAAGGGATTGGTCCAGCAGGTGGAGCATTGAACTGGACTGAGAACAGACAGTAATCCTAAATGCTGACTCTAGTGGGTTGTTGGACTCCAGATAAAAGTACAGCTGTGCGTTTTTTCTTAATGAAGGCATAGCTCATATCTTTTGTTCACTTTTTGCATTCCTAGCCTCCGTAATAGTGCCTGACATATAGGAAGTGCTCAATGAACAGTTTTTGCCTGAATGCAGATGAGGTAGGGTTTGCACGCCAGGGAGAGAACAGGTGATTTCTGGGCTGAGGAGGAGCAAGGGTGCACATCAGGGTGGACAGGATACTTCAAGTCAAGTCAGGTGAGCTATGGAAGGGTAAACAAAGGATCCTGAGTAATCTCAAGGCTTGAAGAGTTGATTTCATGAGCAGCACAGATGGGTGAACTCACTTTAGAGGCCCCAGGGAGATGCACCTATAAGGGTAAAGCCAGAAGTTAATCCAGAACAAAGAAGTTGAAGCAGGCATACAAGGACCTAGTTCAAATGTTTGAAACACCAAGGTGTTTTTAAGCAAGTCTGCTCCTAACAGCTTGAGTGGAAGCCCTAAAAATATCTACAAACAGAAGGGTGATAATGAAGGAAGGAATCCAGATGGAGACAGTGACGTGGTCAAAGACAGTGCTTTGTGAAAGGGCAAGCAAGGGGTGTCGTTTTCAAGAGAGTAAGTGGATTTGCAAAAAGGAATTTTAGAGGATGGGGAAAACTGGTTGGAGATGAGACTGTCCAGGTACGTTCCATCTACATGAAGGAGCAGCTTTACGCCCAAGCAGAGAGTTTGCTTCTCCTTTTGTTTTCCATGGGGTACAAGTCAGGTATTTTTTTATAAGGTAAGTCGTTTAGTCAGCCTTTTGTTTGTACTCTGAAGACAAACCTGGCGAAGATGTATCAGAGGCTCATGGGAGAGGTGTGAAAAGGTGAAAATAGAGTTAGGAAGCAGCAGTAAGAGGAGCAAGAGATAATAAACACGTACGCTGCAGGGACCGCAGCAGTCAGAGAAGAGGGACGGTAGCAGAGAAGTGTTCTGGGGAACGCCCTATGGAGTCTGAGCTCCAGGGAGCATGGGGTTGGGGAAGAAAGAATTGAGTTCTGTTTCCCACTTTGGAACTGGTGGGGACGGCAGTCTGTGTGTTACAATAAGCGCACTGTGCAGGGGACAAGCGAAGGAAGAAGACAGGAGATGTGTCCGACAGTTTCATTTGCTAATTGGAGATTTACACTTCAAGAAAAGTCAGGATTTAGGAGTCACGGATATGAGAATTGAAGCAAGGCATAAATGAAGGCTCCCAGGATAAAGGCACAAAGAGAGGAGAACAAAGGGTAAAATCTTAGAGGACCCCACAGTGAAGAGGTTGTGCAATTCCTCCGAAAGGACTACATTCACATGCTACTACATAGGACTCCTCACTGTCAAATTTGTAAGTTTTTATTAGTATGTAGCCAGAGGCCAACTATCATGAAATAAGAAATTCCACTACATTTCATTTAAAGATTATCGAAGAAACAAGATTTTCTCAATAAAAAATTATAATGGAGAAGAACAAGTGGTTATAGGAAGGATGGAAAAAGCTTCAAGACAGAAAATTTTACCAGCTATTAAAAGGTTTTCTGTTTCTAGTTGTAGGCTCTAAACTTCTAGTATTGCTGGGGAACACATCATTCCCACAGCATCAAAAAGAATTGGTTTTAGGAAGAACCTTGTTTCTATTTCACATTGTACCCGTGTAAAAAGACAAACTAGCCACAGCTACAAAAATTGGCCTGAACATTTCCATTCTTTCAGCTATGTACAGGAATAAGACTGATTCTCCTGGTGTCTTTTTTCTTCCAGTGCCTTCAAAGAGAAACGATGGCTGCAGCAGTTGGAAATAGCAAGAGCCCTTGCCAGAAGGAGCGTTTCTAACCTGACTACCCAGGGGGGTCTGACGAGATGTGAAAACCCTCCGGAAATTGTGCTTTGAAAAGTCATGATAACTTTATTCTGTACAAAGACCTGTTCAAATAATGTCCAGTTTTAATGTTAATATTTCTAATGCCATCAGCTCTAATGCTTGCAGTTCTAGTGCTACGACTTCAACAGGATATTTAATGCTTAACATCGTGTTTTCTTGGATGCATCATCCCCAGTGAAAATGTAGGGCTTTTTAAAAAAATATAGTCTGAGAAAAATTCACAAGAAACTGAGGATCATAGCCGACTACAGGCTAGGATAGAGGATGAGAACCAAGGATGAAGGAATCATTGTTTCTTCCTTTGTTTTTCTAGATTTGCTTTAATGATTTTGGGTTTTCTAAGTCATATAACTGTAGAATGCAATGAAAAAATAAATACTTAAAATTCTATGTAAGAAAATTCCAAGAATTACAAATGCTGTCCACATTATGCTTGTCTCAATATATTTTTAATTCCTGCTGAAACATGGCTTTCTATTTTTTAAATTGAGGTAAAGTTTCCATACAATCAATTCCATAGACCCTAAATGTAATATTCACTGAGTTTAACAAACATATATTAGTATAAATAACACCTAAAATAAGATTATAATTCTTTGGCTATCCCAGAAAATTTCTTCAAGCTCCTAAATCAATCCCAACACCTCCCAACACGATGGGAGGCTGGAGAGAAAAAGCTACAAAGAATGGCTTTTGCCCCTGATGGCTCGCTTGAGATGTTAGTAAGAATTGCCTCCTCAGTATTCTATAGCCATGAGGAGGAGGAGGCCAAGGAGAGAAAACAAAGAGACTGAGAAAAAGTACCTTCTTTTGCTGCAGCACTAAGAGAAACAGATCCCAAGTCTGATTCCCAGGGCCGCAAGAAGAACTCGACTACTGCATTCATCTGCTACCACTGTTAAAAGCCAGGCCACTTCAAGAGGAACTGTCCTAAGAGGTCCCATGGGCCATGCCCTGAATGCAAAGGTGACCACTGGAGATTGGTCTGCCCTCTGAAATGGAGGCCCCAGAGCTCAGACCCACCCTACCAGTTAGTCCAACAGGAATGAGGGGGCCCGGGGCATACTCTACCTTCTTCCTCTGGCCAGACTGTCATCTCCATGGAGGAGCCGTGGGTAAACATGACTATGGAGGAACAAGAAAATAGCCTGTTGCTAGACACAGGTGCAAGTCTCTCGGTCCTTCTTTTCAATCCTGGCCTTCCTTCCAGCCGTCACACCTCAGTGACAGGAGTCACTGGTGAGGAGGTAATATGCTATTTTTGACAACCCTTAGGCTGTAACTACTTATTAGATCCTTCTTGCATATCTCTGTCTTCCTGAGAAACCACTTTGAAGATACCACCATGTATTATAGCAGCCATTGACATTTTCCTACTAATCTATCTATAACTCTCTAATGTTTGTAATGTTCCTATCCTATTTTGTAAATGGATGTATGTTTATTATTATGTGTTTCCTACAACAACCATTGAGAATAGTTAATGATTATTCAATAGGTCACTCATGTATAGCTCTATTTATTTTCTTTAGAAGCCACTTTGAAGATACCAAAGTATAGTACAACAACTATTGATAGTCTCCTACCTCTTTTGTCTTTAACTCATTATTATTTGTCTATTTGTTTTCCTGAGAAACTATTTTGTAGATAACAATATGTAAAACAATAACCATTAATAATTTCCTACCACTTTGTCTGTAATTTGGTAAGCCCCCCCTATTATTATGTTATCCTTCTTTTACTCTTTAAAATTAAAAAAAAAATCCCAACACCTATAGGGAAATGTTATTCTGATTCTGTCACTACAGATAAGATTTGAAAGTCACTTGTTCACAACTGTATCTAGACTATTTTGGTTTTTTTTTTTTTTTTTTTTTTTTGTCTTTTTGAGACAGGGTCTTGCTATGCCACTCAGGCTGACCTTGAGCTCACTTTGTAGCTCAGGCTGGTCTCAAACTCACAACGGTCCTCCTGCCTCAACCTCCCGAGTGCTGGGATTACAAACGTGGGCCCGGGCTATTTTGGTATTCTTGATGTTTTGCAGCATTTACATTGTTGCATGTCAGTAGTACTTTCTTATTACTGAATCAAATTCTATTGTATGAATAACCATAATTTATCTATGAACTATATGGACATTTAGATTGTTCCTATTTTGACATAATATAAATAAAGCTTTTGCAAACATTAAAATTATTTAAAATTATTTCTCTGGATACATTTTCATTAACTTTGTTCAAATACCTAGGAATGGAACTTTTGGGTGATAGGGTTGTACATTTAACATAATGAGAATCTACTTAATCATCATCCAAAGAGATTTTATCATTTTACACTTCCATTAGTAATATTCAAAAGGGCTGAGGATTTACCTTAGTAGTAGAGCACTTGCTTAACATACATGAGGCCCTAGGTTTGATCCCCAGAACTAAAGGGGGAAAAAAGTTCTGGCCACCTTATATGCTTCACTAACTTTTACTTCAGTGTTTTTTAAATTTTTAATCATCATAGTTCAGTGATGGTGAATGTTTTAGAGCTTTCAATGATACAAACAGCTCGCTGTGGCATGTGTGCCTAGGTTCACCACCACTGCTGTTGCATATCATTGTGGTTTTAATTTGCATTTCTTTGACAGCTGTGATAATGAACTTTCACCAGGTTGCGGTCCACTTATGTATCGCCTTTTGTGAAGTACAAAGTTTTGCCTATTTTATTTTATTTTTAAAAATTTTATATTTTCATTTTTAATTGTAAAAAAACTGTGTGCATTAGAAACAAACAATGCTGGGCACAGTCCCAGCTCTTTTTGAGGTAGATCTTCATAAATCACTAAATGACACCTGCAACATTTTGCTTAGGGACCATCTTTTAGATATTTGATCAGTGAAGAATTCTAAAAAATTAAACTAGCAAATAATAAAATATTTCATAGATTAGGTCAGAGTTATGAAGGAAACACAAAGGAAAAGACTTTCTGATTCATATGTACAATTTCTATAGAATTAGCACAAAGAAAACTAACACTGAAACACAATAGAAGGGCAAAATACATATCTCTAACATGATTTTAAAATATTGTCTGTCATATTTTAAAAGTTTATTTGAATTTTTTAGAAAATTTTTTATGAAAATGGAAATGACCCAAATAATAGAAAGTTTATATTAGAGAAAATGCCAGTAAATAAGCATATTAGTGATGTCCTTTCTCAACAACCAAGATGTAAAATAAAGCTGCTTTGAATGCTTGGGGGTAATGTCATTCACTGTCATCTCTTATAAATGTTGTAAGAGATACAATTTGGAGAACATTTTGATAATATAAAACAGGTAGGGGCTGGGGATTTAGCTCAGTGGCACAGTGCCTGCCTGGCAAGCACAGAGTCATGAGTTCGATTCCTGGTACCAGAAAAAAACAAACAAACAAAAATAAAATAAAATAAAATAAAATAAAACAGGTAGCCATAAAAATATATATTTAATTTGTTCTATAATTTCACTTCTCAAAGAATTTCAGAAAACAGTAAGGAATTGTAGTTGCAATGATGTTCACGGTAGATGCAGTAGCAAGAATACTTGGAAAACAACCTAAATGTTCAATGAATTATAATAACTAGCATGATGGAATTTCATGCAGCCATTAATGATCATAATTATAAAATCATAATCAAAATGATAAAAATTGAAAAATATTTATTTTATAATGTGAAGCCCAAAAGTATGCATTCTGTATGTTGAGCAGAATTATAGCTCTCTGTCTCTGTCTTTCTTTCTCTCTACCTCTTCCTCTAGTATATGACAGATACTATTACTTAAAAATGAAAATAGTACTATGAGGTTCAGATGTATTCTTTCCACAAATATTTCTTGAATGCCTACATTGTGCCAGCAGCTTGGATTAGAACAGTAAGGAAACAGCTATGCCTCATGGTACTAATGGAGATTACATCTAATTTTAACTTCTTTTTTTAAAAAACAACTTTTAAACATTAACTGTTTCCCTCAACAAACCATCAGACACCAACAGTACAGTTATGCCATTGATCCATAATATATAAAATGCCTTGATACTTTCTTTTTCTTCTTTCCCTTATCCTAGCTGTTCCTTCCTTTGAGCAATTTCTATCCCTTTCTTATTATCTATTGTACATTTTGGGTTTTATTTACTCTTTCATGTTCTTACACCAGGGAGACAATATGCTGTTTACACATGTGGGCCCGATTTATTTCACTTATGAGTATGATCTCTAGTTGCATCTATTTACCTATAAAAGACTTGAGTTTATCATTTTTTGTAGCTGAGTAATACTCCATTGTATAGAAATACCACAACTTTTTTATCCATTCCACAGCGGATGGGCATTTGGGTTGTTGCCAAGATTTAGCTGTGACAAATTGCACTGCTATAAACATGCGTGCACATATATCACTGTGTCATGATGTTTTTAATTCTTCTGGAAATATACCCAGAAGGGGAATGGCTGGTTTAAGTGGTACTTCTAATCCTAGTTTTTTGAGGAATCTACAGACTGATTTCCACAGTGGTTTCACCAATCAACACTCCCATTAGCAGTGGAGAAGGGTTCCCTTCTCCCCACAGCCCCTCCAGCATTTGTTATTGGTTAATTTCTTAATGATAGCCATTCTTTGTGGGGTGTGATGAAATCTCAGTATTCTTTTAATTTGCATTTCTCTAATGACTAATGATGTTGAACATTTTTTCATATATTTATTTACCATTAGTATTTATTCCTCTGAGAAGTGTGTGTTCATCCCAGATGCCCATTTTTGGATTGAATCATTGAATTTTTGTGGCCTGATTTTTAAAAATTCTTTGTATGTTCTAGATAGGAGTCCTTTGTTTGAGGGGCAGTTGGATCAAATTTTTTCCCAATTCGTGGGTTTTCTTTTTCCTCTGTTGGTGATTTCTTTTGATGTGCAGAAACTTTTCAATAAGATGAGATCTTAATTGTTGATTCTTTGAAGTATTTCCCATCCAGTTTGGTTTCTGTTCATGAACTCTCTGCCTACTCCTATGTCTTTGAGAGTTTTACCTACTTTCTCTTCCAGTAGATTTAGTGTTTCTGTTTTGATATTTAGACCTTTGATCCATTTTGACTTTAGTTTAATGCATGGTGATAGACATGGTCTAGTATTAGTCTTCAGCATGCGGAAAGTCAATTTTTCCAGCACCGTTTGTTACAGAGGCTATCTTTCTTCCAGTGAACATGTTTGGCCCCTTTGACAAAAATAAGGTGGCTGAGTGTGTTTGTAGCTGTTTCTGCATCTTGTAACTTATTCCATTGATCTTCAGGTCTGGTTTTTTTTTTTTTTTTTGCCAATACCATGCTGATTTTATCACAGTAGCTTTGTTGTATAATTTCAGGTTGGGGATTGCCATGCCTCCTGCCTTTCCTTTGTTTCCCAGGATTGCTTTTGCTATCCTAGGCCTCTTCGAGTTCCACATGAATTTTAGGAATGTTTTCTCTAGATCTGTGAGGTATACTAATGGTATTTTAATTGGGATCACAATGAATCTGTACAACAATTTTGGGAGTATGGCCATTTTCACAATGTTGGTTTTTCCTACCCATGAGCAAGGAACATCTTTCCATTTTCTCAAATCTTCAATCTCTTTTTTCAGAGTACTATATTTTTAACTGTATAGATCTTTTACTTCTTTTGTTAGATTGATTCCTAGGTATTTCATTTTTTTTGATGCTATTTTGGT